TTGTTTTTCGATGAAATGCTTTGAAATTTATAACATAGTCATACATTAGGATTCCCTACAATATGATATATAAAAATTTTCGTGAAATCACGTGCATGCACGTGCGCTGCAATCTGATTGGCTGAAACTTTAAATGACTATAACTCCCTTGGTTTCCAACCAAACATGATGGGATTTAGAACATAGATAGACATAAAGGACTCCTACAATATGGTATGGTCAGCATTTACATGCATGCACGTGCGTGCACGTGCACTTTGCTCTGATTGGCTGAAACAAAAATCTCAATATCTTTTCTGTTTTCTGACAAAATGCTTTGAAATTTAAAACATAGGCATACTTTAAGATGTCCTACAATATGATATATAATAATTGTCATGAAAACACGCGCATGTACGTGCGCTGCAATCTGATTGGCTTAAACTTTAAAATGGCTATAAATCCCTTGTTTTTCAACCAAACAAGATGGGATTAAGAACATAGACAGGCATAATGGACTCCTACAAGAAGGTATGGTCATCATGCACGTGCGTGCACGTGCAATGAGTAAAATAGTGTAGACAAGATGATATAGTCATTACGCTCATGCAATGTTGTTTAAGTCTTAAATGCATAGATTCTGCCTATTTTAATGAAACTTACAGGAATATGGCACTAAAAGGGAGTTGGGGAGCGTTTGGGAACATCTGTAACGGTTCCCGTTACAATTAACACTAGTTTATGTTTAATATAGTTAAATCATAGTTTCTTTTAATTTTTCCTGTTTAAAAAATTGAAAAATATCTTTGTACATGTCTAAAAACGTGACTATAAGGAAAGCCCGCTCTACCCTTAGGTCAAGATTTAAAAAAAAAAAACAAAATTAAAATATTTTTTCAAAACTCAAAAATTGAAACAAAATGTTACAAATAGTAAATTTTTAGAAATAGTACAAGAAATGTGTTCTTTTTTTCTTTATCTAAAGATGTATTTTGAAATCAAATCATTGATAGCAGCATTATTTATTATCCCCATGTTGACCTCTAGGGAGAAATCTACTTTATAATCTTTGGAGGTTCCGTTGTAATAAATAAAACGTCTGAGTTTATTGTAAGTTTGTTATACATACCTAGAGTTCCAGTACCTGAATCAGACAAATCCATTCGGAATTTCCCTGGAGATACACTGAAGCCTTCATATTGCTCATACAATTTATTGTTATTGTGTAGCGTAATCGATATGTAAAGGTACGAATGGTTTTTCGTAAGCTGGTAAATTACGTCATTTCCTGTTATAAATAAAAAAAAAGTTTCAATCTAAGCACTACGGTGTATGCTTTAACAAACCTTGTATTTAACCGTATCGGAAAAAAATCACTGTAAAATTGTGAAGATATTATTATAAACTACATGCCAATCCAGTAAGCTGTATGTGGCGATCCGAACCCGACTCTGTAGTCGTCCCATGTCCGATTAAAATTTACAGATCCGTCCAGCCTTCTCTGAATAGCCTGTTAAAATTTTTTTTATAATACAAATGTTTTTTATTCATACAAGGAGTTCAATACTTAAAGAAATGATATTTGACGATTTAATTCCTATGTCCATGAATATGTATAAATTACCTGAGATTTTCCTTTTTTGTTGCTCCATAGAGCGTCTAGTTTGAATTTATAATGCGCTGATCGACACATACGCTAACTTCAAAATTCTTTTCACTAGCCAAATCATGCACTTTCACTATTTTATCTACTTACCCCCCCCCCTCTATCTTTAGAACCTCTGACCCTGGGGCCATGAATTTCACAATTTTGGTAGAGGACTCAATGCGGATTACAACCATACCAACAGTTTGACTGCTTGATGTCCAAGAGTAAAGAAGAAGATTTTAAAGATTGCACTGATTTTAGTGGTTTAGGCCCCACCTCTCGGGGGGGAGGGGGGGCAAGGACCATGAAACGTCCGAAATCCCACAAAAAGGTATAATTGGAAACAGGGAAGGGGATACTTTCACAAGTCATTTTTTTCATGATACCTTGAGGTAATTTACATTTTTCTAATGAGGACATTCTCTGGAGAAGGAGGGGGGTCAAGATTACGTTTGTAGCTTTTTATGTGTATTTCCATTAAAAATTACAGTCAAGATAAAATGCTTAAGGTAATAAAATAGGTATAACAGTCTATGCAAAAGACATCGGGCAGTCGGACCTGACCGATGTGCAGTGCCCTTGGTTCGATGCATCATTTTTTTTTTACCGGACCGGAATGTCCGATGTCTCAGAGTAAAAAAAAATAAATGTTGCCGACATCGCTGACAAAAAATCAAAATAATCATACTTTAATTTTATTACCAAATCCAAGTGCAAAGAACTTCAAAGTAATGATGAATGTTTAAAACATCGAAGAAATCACTGCCATGTTTTTCTACCGCCATGATTGAATATAGGGTCAGACTAATAACGGGAAACGGACAATAATACTATGTTAATATTCCCATTGACTGCAATTTTTAGAGAAATAAATTCCCATTCTGTTTCAATATATTGAATTTGTTTATAGAAATGAAATATTATTTTCCACTTTTTTAAAAAAGAAATATTTAAGAAACATTTTTGAATTATATATATATGTAACAAGAAATATGTGAGCCAGTGCTCACTAGGAATACCCCCGCTCTGGTATCAATAACCACTATCATGTTAATATACACAAGTTTAATTTATGGACAGATGCACAGAAAAATATGAAATTGACATCAGATTCATATCAAAATCAATCCCACCGTGTGGCATACCTCAGAGAAGATTGTGTAAAAATTTCAAGCATCTGCGATGAGTAGTTGCTGAGAAAACTGATGAAAATTTGTTATGTATAAAACGGACAGACACACAAACAGGAAGTTAACATCGAATTTTATCAAAAATGTATTCCAAAGTATTGCATGCCTCAAAGAAGACTGTTTTTTAAATTTCAAGCATCTGCGATGAGTAGTTGCTGAGAAATCTGCGACGAAAATTTATTATGTATGAAACGGACAGACGCACAGGAAGTTGACATCAGATTTGACCAAAAATGTATCCCACCGTGTGGCATGCCTCCGAAAAGATTGTGTTAAAATTTCAAGCATCTGCGATGAGTAGTTGCTGAGAAAACTGTGATGAAAATTTGTTATGTATGAAACGGACAGACACACAGACAAACAGGAATTTAACAGCGAATTTTATCAAAAATGTATCCCAAAGTATTGCATGCCTCAAAGAAGATTGTGTTAAAAATTTCAAGCATCTGTGATGAGTAGTTGCTGAGAAAACTGCAACGAAAATTTGTTATGTATGAAAAGGACAGATGCACAGACAAACAGGAAGTTGACATCAGATTTGACCAAAAATGTATTCCGTCGTGTGGCATGCCTTCGAAAAGATTGTGTTAAAATTTCAAGCATCTGCGTTGAGTAGTTGCTGAGAAAACTGCGACGAAAATTTGTTATGCATGAAACGGACAGACGCACAGACAAACAGGAAGTTGACATTAGATTTGAACAAAAATGTATCCCACGTATGGCGTACCTCAGAGAAGATTGTGTTAAAAATTTAAGCATCTGCGATGTGTAGTTGCTGAGAAAACTGCGACGAAAATTTGTAATGTATAAAACGGACAGACAATCAGGAAGTTGAAATTGAATTTGACCAAAAATGTATCCAACCATATGACATACCTCAGAGAAGATTGTATTAAAATTTCAAGCATCTGCGATAAGTAGTTGCTGAGAAAACTGCGACTAAAATTTGTTACGGACAGACAGAAAGACACACAAGGGTAAAACAGTATACCCCCCTCTCCTTCGGAGCGGGGGTATAATTAGGTAAATGATTTTGTTCTGTAAAAACCTGACTGAAATTTGAATAAGTTTAACTTTTCTATGATTATTAATGGAATATGCTCAACCGATTATAACCGATAATCATTTTCCATCACTAATTTTCATGTTTCATTTGTTTACATTAGGTTTCTCGGTCTGACAAAATTTGATTCGGTCCTGTGTGTTGATTGATTACGTAGGACCGAATGTCCTGTGTGGTAAAAAAAAAAACTTTTCGCATAGACTTGGTATATGGATAAAATGTTGTAAGAAAGCGAGAATACGAAAAATTTGCAGAAAGAATTTTAGTAATTTAAATCGCTATTTTTAGACAAAGAAAAATATCTTACGGTCCACCCTCCGTTTGCCGTCTCCATGTCACAATACACCTGGATAGGACGGTAGTTCGGATCTAGTTTGTCCCAGGGATGAATTGTGTAGACACCGGATGCCTTTATACCTCTGTCATACAGCGACATACAGTCAATATCTAGAACTACAAGGACGTTATGAGTAGTTAAATTTTCTTGCAAATATTAACAATCCAGTCCTAATCAGATTCGTAATTTATATTACATATAGTTGAATCATTGTTACTCATAATTTTCCGTAATATCTTTGAGTCTAAGAACGTGAATATAAGGAAAGCCCACTCATCCCTTGGTTCAACATTTGAAGAAAAAAAATTAAAACTTTTTAATTTAAACAATTTTTAAAATGTAACAAATATTAATTTTTTTAGAAATACAAAAAAGGTTTTCATATCTAAAAATGTGTTTTGCAATCAAATAATTTTTAGCAGCTCTATTTTTTTTAAAATCCCAGTGTTGACCTTTTGGCAGAGGTGTACTTATTTAATCTTTAAATGACTTCATGAACAAGACATTTGTCACCAATAGGCTGGGGATTCTTACTCCTCCATGGCACTTTATCCCAATTAAGCTTTTGGAAGTCCAATTTTGTGTAATGGACTTTTTCGTTATCTCCCTATATTTCAATCCAAAACCTATATCGATAAAATATATATCTGCCACTGAGAGATTGTACAAAGGTAATAAGAAGAAAAAAAAGAAAGTCGTACCTGGTATATAATACCTCCAACCTTCTTCCTCCTCTGTCATATCAGCAAGATCACAAGTCGGGTAAGTGTGACACACCTTTGTACCAAACCGGAAGCCAACACATCGACATCCGGTCTGACACTTCATACAACACTCGGAAAGAGAGTTCGCTTCATGTTCTGTCCTTAAGGAACTGTTAGACACTTTGTTATTAAACTCCACTTTTATTTTGTAAACTAAACTCAATCTGGCAAATGGTACTATTAACTGGCTCAAAAAGAAATATAGGAGCACTATTCCTTTCACAAGACTGGGTTTCATTTTCCAGAGCATTTCGCTTATTTAAAATTATTTAAGAGCTCTGCACAGAGAAGATTTTGCTTTTTTTCTTCATAGAATGCTCATCACCATCGACCTCTTTCAAGTCCCGTTTCCTTAAATTTGCAGGCTCTTTCAAACAGAGCATGCATGCCAGGCTCGAAAAATGTTCGTTATAGGGTTGTTAAAGTTCAATTTAATCGCTACTCAATGCATGTCACTGTATCAAGTTAACGCTAAACACTTTTGCATTGGATGAGCGACTATATAATGGGCGTTTCTTTAATCTATCATTAAGCAAATTCAGTCTAGAGAAAAGCATTTTTTTACTCTCCATTTTAAAGATTTTCTAACGTACAATAATATTTTGCATCATCACAATAGATATATCAAAGCGGACTTTAAGAGTAAAGTTGAATTTTAAATATGTTTATAATATTGCCTTTTTCAATATTACGTCTTTCCTAGCAGATATTGTTTTTTTTAAAATGAATAATACATACTTATGTCGCCCAGAATAGTGCCTATTTACACACGAGATTAAAGACAAACATTACTGGAAACAGTAATCTCATCTTTCAATTAATTTTAATGTGAGCAATCCAAGGAAGGGAAACGATTTCTAAAGTAGATATTTTTAATCTTAAGATAAAGAACAAAAATATGGGGTAAATGATTAATTCGTTTCAAAGAAAAAGCAAATGCAAATCACAATAAAGCACTGTAAATTAACTTTTCATGATAGCGTCCTCTCATCTCGGTAGTGATTTTGAACAGCTTAATGTATATTAAGGTAATTTAATCACAACGTTTTTCAAAACCTCTTCACTTCATGAATTCTGTATAAGCTAACAATAATTCCAAGAATATTTGGTTGAAGTCGACACCGCTCATCCTCAGATATTTTCGGGAAAATCAATTTTGTACATTTGCATTTTGTGTGATTATTTTTAAAAAATCAAAACTGATTTTCATTATCAGAATCAATAAAATCTATGCTGCCATGCTCTGTTTGAGGTTCATGAAAAGTTCAATTTGAAAATATGTCGATATATTTGCAGGTTAAATTTGCAATACAAATGTTTCTTCTGCTTGCAATTTTTAGCTTCATTGTTAAGAAGGCTACTTATACACTTGTAAAAATGCACAATGCAAAGATGCTTAGAGTGCATAATGCTGTTTTTATCACATTACGCCTGATGACCATGCATTGAAAATCACACAATACCAACGGCAAAAAATCATTTCTGTGATAAATCGTCTGAAGGAACCTTTTAGCAGACCTTTTACGTACCTTGAAGGAAAGTTTTAACGTCTTTCTTAAATTATGCACAAGCAACACACATTTATAAAATTTATGAGATTTGTAGGGATATTTTCGTTGAATATCGAGTCCCTATTTAACTCGAAAAGTCGTGATGCTATACCGACGAGAATATTGCAATAGTTACTAGTATGTCCCTTTGGGAGTCAACTAAGTAAGGGAAAGAAATGACAGCAATGAAACATTGCAGCGTGCTTCTTATCATATTAAAAAAAATACGAAAAAGGAGTTTACTGAATGGGTTTAATGTCAATAAGTAGAACACAAAATGAAATTTGAGAAGGTGTGCATAGTTGTAATACTGAACTGTGCTCGCCCTTGTGGTTTCAACGTCGGAAATGTTATCTTTTGATTTTGTTGAAGTGTTGCCATGATTACTAGCATTTAGTAGAAATCACTAAATTTTTTCTAACACTCTGAAATGTTAGGCTTACTATACAGTTTTCCCCCAATCATCATTCAAATTGAATCAGAATGAAACTTAACCAAGGACAATTGTTTTATTTACTCATGTTTTCATAATTTCAAGTCCAAGTTCTATACCTTTTGATACTTTGGTAAAAGAGCAAATGAGCAGTAATGCTTTAATCTCATTAAGTACTTAAGTGGAAAGTATAGTAAAGTATGCAAAGCAGGTGTAATTTGAAATATTTCGATAGAGTAAGAAACGTGTGTATCCTTAACACTTTAAACGATTTTTTTTCCTCCACGCAATCGGGATTGTCGATACATTATCTTCCATAAATTTTCACTACATAAAAAATGTATTCAAATCTTCAATACATTCAGTGAAGCTTAAAAACACGATAAAACCCCTGCTCCCTTAAATCTTTACAGTTTGATGGGTAGAGTAAGCTATTGTCAACAAATCAGTTTGAGATCGATAAAATGCAACAGGTAAATGTTTGTTAACTTTCATTTTAAATCTTTGTTCTCTTAAAGCAGCAGATAAATTTTAAAATAAAACATGATGTTGATTGTCGCAAATTAGAGTACTAATTACAGGTAGTAAAGTACGAACATAAAAGCGTATCGTTTTATTGAAAAACAAAAGAACAAGAAAAGCTTCTTTTTTGTAAGCCCGTAAGTTTCCATCGGTAGGCCTTTCAACTAATTATTCAAGTTGCACATATGGTAAAAAAAATTGTATAGATAGATTTATAGGTACATGAAATTATGAAAAAAGATAATAATTTATGCATACTTTTAATTACATCATCAAAAAGTTTAATCATTTATAATTGACTTTTCCGATGCAGTGTTTAAGGACAGGTAACTCAGGTGTGAAAAATGACCAACTTAGTGCCGATTTATGAGTTATCGTTTATAGGAATGACATATAGGCTGCTTCAGCATTGGTATTGTTATATACACAAAAGGGTTCCTTACATTGTTTTGTACACAAAAAGTTTTGACCAAGAGAAAGAGAATGCCTTCACTCTACCTGAAATAACAGTGTCAAATGAATGGGGAACAGACTATATTCAATAGTTTTAACTCTCTTTGACAATTATTATGAAGAAGAAAATTTAATGTCCTGTTTTTGTGTTCGCGTTTTTTCGCTTCCTGTGTAAAAATATATATTTTTACAAGTATATGCAACAATTGATCATCTTATTTGTGTTACTAAGCACGAAGCGGAACGACCGAGTATAAAAATTAAAATAGGTTAGAACTGAGAAGGAGGGTAGATTTCACTTTTTATTTTAATTAAAAATTTTAATTATATACAGTAAACTGGTGTCCGCAACTATACAGTAAATAAGTTTAACATTGATGCTAAATTTTAAAACCACTGGATTCTACTTAGAGCAAAGAAGCACTTGGGAATGCTAAAAACTGCCTTGCGTGTAAACAGTTAGATACCCCGAGCCTGCTCTAAACAAGTTTCAGCAGTGAGTTATCGTTCATAACACCTACCCCTAGCGGCAGTTGAAAGGCCTACCATCGGTATATTTAAACGGTAGACATTTTTCTATACGCACATTAGATGTATATGGCAAAAAACAATACTGATTGAATGTTTAAAAATGGCGTCGAATATTAATCCTTGTGAACACACATTGATAAGAAATATAGATGTTAGGTTAAATTATATACAAACATATATAGAAATATATTCAATATCAAACAAAAAGACAGTTATCCTTTTTACATATCTGTTCACCAACTGAGAATCTGCGTCGAAAAGGTCAAAATAAAGGTCAATATAACTGTTTAGAATCTTTGAACTACTACCAAGCAGAAGATTTTTAATCCGTCTATTGAATTGCGTGTTATATAATTGAAGAAGTTGTAGACTGTACCTACAGTGTAGTTAACAAACACAGCTTACAAGCCTTTATCGATATCAAATACAAAGGTAAGTATTAGCTATTTTACCCACTATATCTTTCTGAATGAAATTACTTGGATCAATTTTAGCTGAAAATGCCTTTACAATTTAATGTTATTTCGATGCCAATACTTTTTGAATGTTTAAAAGTTTTCAGAGTTCACGGTCTTTTTTTTTTTTTTTTGGAAAAATCATTTAACAAATACATGCATTAAAATAAAAAAAATATACATTCACACTAAACGTCTTAAATGCAAAATTATTGTCTACTTTGGTTACACAAGGTCATTATCATTATGATAGAAGTTACACTTCATTTAGATTTTAAATAATAATAATATATCCCTTATGATTAATTTATCGATAAATGGATCGTGTCTTCGTGCAGAAGTCCGTTATTTAAATTCTAAAAATAAAAAGCTAAAAATACCGGAAATTTCCAGTCATAAATATAGATTGGTATGAAGATTTCAAATGATTCCGTTCTATTTTTTTCCCATTTGTAGGACAGGAATGGCTCCTTTTAAAGTAGCAACACTCAAGATACTTCGTGCACTTATTCTTATTGAAGGTATGATATTTCCTTAATGAAAAATTGTTAATGAATTGTTTGATAGGAAGTCGTTTTAATTGTAAAGAGTGGTTAATAAGTTGTTAGATATTTTTGAAGGATCAACATTTAAATTTACTGATTTTTTAAAATTAAAATGATACACACCAGAATATGGATTATAAAAGTGAGTTTTTCTATCAAGTACAAATGTCTAAACTTATTGACTGGTAAACTGAATTTCTCAAATAAAAAAAAAAGTTAACTGTCTTCGATGTTCTAGAATATCTACATTAAGAGATTGTAATTTCTACAAAGTTCAAATTTCACCTTACTGCAACCAATCATATTAATCTTATTAGATTTAAGTCATATTATTAATAAATTATTATGAAATTTAAAGGAAAGATGAAAATCTGTTTTAAGTGAACTTATAAAAATTAACGTACATCAATATGACAAGTTATTTTCAAGAATTTTTTTATTAAATTCGTTTATAGTTTGAATATTTTTTCAAAGTTTTAAATGTTTATAAAGGAATACTGGGTCTAATTTCGAACTCAGACGAGCTAGAAAGAGGAACATGTCACTCAGAAGAACTGCGAGTAGAGATGTCTATAAAGTGTGACATTCAAAACGTTCGGATTATCTTGGTGTCAAAACTGTTTAAAAATAATTTAGTGGTCTGTATGAACAATAGTGGAAAAATCGACTGCCATTATGTAGAACATGTGAAAAGTTTTTATAACAGTAGCAGTGGACATTTAGTATTTTTGACACAGTTTAATTCTACTCACCACGCAGGAAATAGGCTATTGGTTAACACCTTATGCCAAAATAACGATACAACAGAGGAGAACGTTCTGCTTAAGCCATG